TTAAGTAAACTGCTCTGATTTATCATGTGATTTTTCTAACTCACCGATAGAACCATTTTTTTACTTAAGCCATTAAGGGTTGTAGTGTATACAAAACAATGCTGTTGTTAAGTGCTGTTGAGTGGATTCTGACTCATAGCAGCCTGTGTGAGGCTTCTGAAGAGCAGTGATGAGTCTGAATCACCAACCTTGTGGTTCAAACCAACCTAAGGGTCCAGTACTTATCCTACAGCGCCACACCAGTGATCCTGAATAAATACAGCTACCACAATTCAGGTGACTATAATTAATAGTTACACTGTTGTTTTTAAGTGTCCTCAAGTCAGTTCCGACCATAGCGACTTTGTATAGTAGGAATAGCTGGGGAGTTTGAACAGCCGACCTTGCGGTTCACAGTCCAGTGCTGATTCTACAGTGCCACACCAGAAGCCTATGAATAGATAAAGCCATAAGAATATTTTAATGTCAGCCACACCCTTTATGTGAAGCTGTGCTTTAAGATATGATTAGTATTCTGAGTATAGGGTGATGGTAAACATTTTGTTTTTGCATTATCATGAGATGATAAAATTACCCATTTTCAAAGGACCAGCTGCTACTTACTGGCTGGACTTATAATGCCTACGTTCTCAAAACTATTTTAATTAGTAGTTATCTGTGTTTTTCTTTTCTTTTCTTTTCTTTTAAGTCAATAAGAGAGGAAATTTATATGTAAACCTATTAAAGCCATACCATCTGTTCTGACATGATATAACTAAATCTTAGTAAGTGAAATGTTCTGCTTCAGGATTTTGAAGCTGTTCAGTGTTCTCAATAAGACAAGAATTGCTATTAATTAGACCCCAAACAGGTTTGAGGAGAAAAAACAAACAAACAAACAAACAAATAAGCAAACAAACAAACAAAAATAACAGGTATAGAAAAGTTATTGGAAAAAATGGTCCAAATCTTTTCATAGTATGTTTCCAGTACAGTGCTATAGATTTACATTTTTGTGCAAAACATATAAGAAACTATTTATCACATTAGATACATGTGGCCCTATTGTTGTTGCTGTTGTTGAGTGCCATGGAGTTAGTTCTGACTCATAGCAACCCTCTATTGGGTTTCTGAGGAGCAGCTGGTGAGCTTGAACTGCCGACCTTGTGGTTCATACTGACTTTGCAGTTCAGTGCATTAGCCCATAGTGCCACACCAGGACTCCTAAGAGCCTAAAATTGTAAATAAAACCTGAGCCCTAGTGGCATAGGGTTGGGCTCCTATGCACAAGATCAGCAATTTGAGTCCACCACCCACTTTATGGGAGAAAGAGGAGGCTTTCTCCTCCTTTAAAGATCTGTTGTTGTTGTTGCTAAGTGCCATAGAAAGATCTTCAGCCCTGAAAATCCTACATAGGATGTCTATGAGTTCAAATGTATTTGATATGGTTTGGGGTAAGATCATAGCCAATCTCTACCCAAATTGCTCGAGAGCTTTAGGCCAAGGACTTAACCTCTTGGAACAACTTTTATTTCTATAATATGAATGATGATTCTTACACTACAGGGTTATAAAAAAGATCAATAGTTAAGAATATCATTATTTGACAAATGTTTATTGAACTGTTACTAATAACCACCATTTATTAGGTAATTATTATATAATAGTGTCTGTGCTAAGAGCTTAAATGTACGCGATTTCATTTAACTTAACAAAAATTATTTATGTAACTATTACTATTATATCCATTTTACAGATAAGGGTAGCATGGTGACTCCATAGGATAAGCAATGTATTACAAACCACAGGGTTAGTGGTTTGAGCCCACCAACCATTCCACTGGAGAAAGATGAGGTTTTTTTTGTTCCCACCAAGATGCACAGCCTCAGAAACCCTATACAGAGTCACTATGAGTTGGGACCAACTCCACAGGCTAAGATGGTTAAAAAAATTACCCATGGTTACAAACATAATAAATGGAAGTCCCAACAATAGAACTTAGGTTTATTCTTTCATTTATTCAACACACATTTGCTAAGAATAGGTTCTTTGAATAAAATCAGGCACTGTATGGAAGAAGGAAGTGAGGAATGGATGTTGTATAAGCAGTCAGCCATGTTCGTTCTAGCCCTGCCCCTGTGTGGAGGATGGATTTAAGGCTATTAGAGAGGCTTCTGGTGTGGCACTGTAAGATAAGCACAGAAGAGCAAGGATGGTTTGAATCACAAGGTTGGCAGTTCAAACTCACCAGGTGCTCCTCTGAAAACTTATACAGGGTTGCTATGAGTCAGCACCAACTCGACAGTGCTTAACAACAACAACAGAGAAGCTCCAAGAAGGCTCAATAGAAGGCTGTGGATATTGAGTCCAGGAGATTATACTGACTTCAGTCAGGATGGTAGCAATGAAGATAAAGAAACGGGGATTAATGGAAGGTATATTTTGCAAATAGAAATAAATATGTATAGTAGCAGGAGACAAAAGTCAAGCAAGCAAGGATAACCCCTCATCTTTCAGTCTGAGCAACATAGTGAACTGAAATAGGTAACATTAGAATGTATGTGTACAGTCTGGGAAATAAATCTTCCTAGTCTTAAAGTTCATAATTTTAATCATTTTTTAATGTGACCTTTACTATTACCATAAATACACAAAAGATATTAGAAGTCATGGCCACATGTGAAAGTTGGATAGTGAATATGGAATACTGTAGAATTGATGCACTTGAATTATGGTGTTGGGAAGAATATTAAAGGTATCATGTATTGCCAATACTGAAAGTATTCTATCTATACTGAAAGAAGTGTAATCAGAATGCTCCTTAGAAGTCAATATGGCCAGACTTCGTTTTTCAAACTTTGGACATATTATCAGGAGGGCCCAGTCCCTAGAGAAGGACACCATGTTTGATAAAGTGAAAGGACAGTGAAAAAGAGGAAGTTCCCAAGTGAGATGGATTGGCATAGTGGCAGCAACAATGGGCCCAAGCGTAGCAGAAGTTGTGAGGGTGGTGGAGGGCCCTAAGTCCTGTTGTAAGCAACATAGTGTTGCTATGAGTCAGAACCAACAACAACAGCAACAACATGACCACATAATTATTATTCTAGGGGGGGAAATCCCAAATTCAAACGTATTTTATAGAGACCCTTTTATGAAACCTGAAACAGGACAAAGATAAATTATCCCGGTGAGGAAAACCATCAGCATGAGGTTATACAGGTGTCCAAAGGATTCATGGCCAGCGGGCTATTTACAGATGGCGGAAAACAAAAGACAGTATCACAGAATCAATTCATCGCCATTGCAGGCAGGACTACAGAAGAGAAGGGACCATGATTGGCATGTATCACCATTGCAGGCTTAAAAGGCTTGTAGAATTGGAGCTGGTGCTCTTTAACCACCTGGCTACTTGATTGTCTGGCTCTGACTAATGACTATGCAGTCCTGAGTCATAAGGACTGGTACACCAATTTCCAGGTGACAAAAATCTGTAAATCATTAAGGACATCCCTAAGGGCAAGACTGTCTCTCTCTCTCTGTGCACTGGCCCAGGAGTAGATACAATCTACTTTCCAACAAACTGCCTGAGGGCCGAGCTGCCACACTGATAGTTAATGGTCAGAATGTAGTCAAATGGAGAGCAAACTTATGTCAGGACTCAAAATGTAGGCCTCACACTGTCAACCATAGGCTTCCACAAACCAAGTGCTGTAGAGTTTAAGCTCTGGTACATTATAAACTGCCCAGGAAGGTTTATGGAAAAGGTTTAAATTAGTTCTTTCCATGGGAAAATGGCAAAAAAAGAGTGTGACATAGAACTTAGTTCTAACTAAGAATCTATAGATTCTTAGTTCTCAAGGACATTCCTGGGGACAAGAATTGTCGGAAATTCTCTTTGAACTTTGTTAAATATGAACTTCAATATTTACAATATTGTGAGAAACATTTAAAGGGGGGAAAATGAAAATAGTTTGCCAGTTAATTGGATGAAAAGATTATATGCATTTGTTTTTCTTTATTGTACATTTTTATATAAAGATCTCTGGTAGCATAGAGTTGGGCTGCTCACCTCAAGGCCAGCAGTTCAAAACTACCTACTGTTCCATGGGAGAAAGATGAGTCTCTGCTCACACGAAGATTTACAGCCTCAGAAACTATATGCAGGGTCACTGTGAGTCAGAACCAACTCTACAACACAACACCACTGCATATTTATATAGGAGTCCTGATGTGATAGCATAGAATAAGCATTGGACTGCTAATCACAAGGTCAACATTTCAAACCCACTTGTTTTTCAGAAAACCTATACAGGGTTGCCAGGAGTCAGGACAGATTAGATGGCACTTACAATGACAACACATTGTTATATTTTCATATTTTCTGAAATGTTTATAACTAGTAAACTTTGACACACTGTATGATAAACACTGGACTGCTAACCACAAGGTAGGCAGTTCAAACCTACCAGCTTCTTCTTAGAAATGTTATACAGGCTTGCTGTGAGTCGGAAGTGATTTGATGGTACTTAACAACAACAACAAACTAAAAATTTGATAAAAAATTAATCTATAAATGAAGTTTTATTATGTATACATTCTCTCATTATGTCTTACTACATAGTGGTGGTGGTAGTTGTGTACCACAGAGACATTTCCAACTCCCAGGGACCCTGTTTAGGGTTTCTGAGGCTGTAAGTCTTCAAGGAAGCAGAAAGCCTCATCTGTCTCCCGTGGAGTGGCTGGGAGATTCGAACAGTCCCCAGCTTGTACTCCGTTACACTACCCGGACTCCTACTACATAATGATAAGGCGTGGCAATCCATCCCTCAGTCAAACCAATCAAAATAATGATCGATCAGAAGTTTGGTCAATGCAGGTACCACTCAGGGATTTAAGATCTAATTGATTTCCTTCATGTGAAGTACTTCTGGATTTTAATTTTGAATTTCTTAGAATCTTGTCTTGTCTTTAAGAAATCTTCCTAGCCAATCCTGGCACTTTACTCTTTTCCTTCCTTCCAGAGTCAATGACTGTATCTTGCGGGTGAATGAAGTCGATGTGTCCGAAGTTTCCCACAGTAAAGCAGTGGAAGCCCTCAAGGAAGCCGGGTCTATTGTTCGACTTTACGTGCGCAGAAGACGACCCATTTTGGAGACTGTTGTGGAAATCAAACTGTTCAAGGGACCGAAAGGTAATGAAACACAAATGAATCACACTAATATATCAATAACAAGCCATTGGGCTCAAACTTATACTGCAAGCCACCTATAATGTGCTTCCTTTTTTCACCTTCCAACAGTGAGTGGTAACTGAGAGATTGTTGTTGCTGTTATTAAGTGCCGTGGAGTCGGTTCCGACTCATAGCAACCCTGTACAGGGTTTCCGAGGCTGTAAATCTTTACGGGAGCAGAACGCCTCATCTTTCTCCTGCGGAACCGCTGGTAGTTTCGAACTCCTGACCCTGCGGTGCGGAGAGATTAGAATACCACACTAATGTTTTCTTTACAAAGGGCAAAAGGAACTTATTCTTATTTTATGAATCTGGATAAAGATAGGACAGATTTGTTTAGAGATACCTTTATAAACAATTACAATAATCATTTATATACTTTGATTATCATGACTTGAATACATATTAATACTTTTAAATTTTTCAGTGATAAATTATGAACCTAATATTTTAACAAAATAGTAATGAAATAAGAATGATTAAAATAATCTGTCCTGGAATAATAGCTAACATTTTTTATAACACTGTGGGAATATGTTTTGATTTTTTATATCATAGCATATTGTATCCAACAAGTACTATATAGTGTTTTATATTGGAAATAGTCACAGTGTAGTTAAATATTGTGTATGTAGTTAATAAGCTAAAATGTAAACTGGTAGTTACTTTGGTGAATTGCATAAATAATGAGATGAATCATTACACTAATTTTAAAAAATAATCATTTGAGCCCACTTCTTCAGAGTTAATGACATTCAATATTGGCTTAATAGTCTTTTAAATATTTTAGCCAAGTCTAATAATTGGCTTAACAGGATTTTAAATATTTTAGAAGATCATGACTAGATAGTCATTCTATTCTTTGAGTGGATCATTTCTCTTTCTCTTAAAATGTATTTAAGCCTAATGCTATGTGTGATTGTGGAGTTGTCGTGTGGGTTAATGCGCTGGAGTGCAAGATTGACTTGAACTGCAGGTCGGGGGTTCAAGCTCACCAGCCACTCTTCAGAAATCCTATACAGGGTCTCTATGAGTAGGTACTGACTCACTGGCATTTACCAACAACCACATGTGTGATTAAACAATAATAAGTACCACACCTTCTCGTGGGGACAGTAGTATTATTTTAGGTTTTATGTACACAGACCCAGAGGTAAGACAGAAATGGGCTTAAAAGCTTGGTTTCCCCACTTAGTAGTAGAGTGACCTAGTTTGGTTCAAGGGTTCAGTTTTATAACATCTAACTCCCTCACTATTAAATGAGGATCATGTTCTTATTGGTGTTAAGTGCTGTGAGGAGCAGTAGGTTGGCTTAAACTGCTGACTTTGTGCTTCATAGTCCAGTGCTTATCCTACAGAGCCACCACACTTCCCATCTACTCCGTTTTGTTGTTGTTAAGTGTTGTCGAGTCAGTTCTAACTCATAGTGACCTTGTATAGAGTTTCCGAGAAGCAACTAGTGAGCCTGAACTGCTGACCTTGCAGTCCAGTGTACTAACCTGCAGCATCACACACCATGATTCCGTAGAGTTATGAAAAAAAAAAAAAAAAAAAAAGCCGCTACCATCAAGTGAACTCTGACTCATGGTAGTATTATGTGTGTCAGAGTGGACCTGTGCTCCATAGGATTTTCAAAGCCTGATTTTTTGGACATGGATCTTTCTTCTGAGGCACCTCTCGGTATAGTCAAACGAACTATCTTTCAGCTACATTCAAGTCAACAACCTTTCGGTTAGCGGCCAAGAGTGTTAACTGTTAACACTACCCAGGTTATATGATAATTAGGTGATATGATGAATGTAAAGGCACTTAACTGATGTTAAGCACGTGAGAGTATAGAACAAGTTGGTTAAGATATAGTCTCAAGAGTCACAGTGCTTGGATTGGAATCCTAACTGTAGTTCACTAGCTGTTTGACCTTGGGAAAATTCCTTAACTTCCCAGTGCCTTAATTTTCTCTTCTGTAAAATACAAATAAGAATAGTACGAGCTCCTAGAAATGTTGTGAGGATTCACTCACTCATTTCCGTTGAGTGGATTCCAACTCATAGAGACCCCGTATAGAATAGCCCTTGAGACATGGGATAGGAGTAGGGAATGTGGGGAGAAGTGAGTATTCATCAACCACTTATGTCCAAATAATTATCCAATGAAAATACAACTCTTACGGAGGTAAAGATGCCCAGGGATTTGTTCTACTGAGACAGGAGAACCAAGAAAATTGTTAGAACTATCTTTACAACTGAATTTCATTCCAGAAACCAAGTTCCTGTCATAACCCTATAAACAGCTGTGGTCCTGGTTTGTTTTGTTGTTCTATTGGTCTTACAAGGGAGCCATGTGTTACAGTGGGTTACGCATTAGGCTGTTAACTGAAAGACTGGCAGTTCAAAGTCAATAGCTAGCCTCTCTGAAGGAGAAAGATGAAGCTGTCTGCTTCCCTACAGATTTATAGCTTTGGAAACCTTATGAAGCAGTTCTATTCTGTCCTGTAGGATTGCTCTGAGCTGGATTTGATTCAGCGGCAGTGGGATGGGCTTTACTGGGATTATATAGAGTTGGTCATACTTTTTCATACAGTCACCATCCAGGGATGATTATAGGGGATTTGCTTTTCTATGTAAAACTTATGAAATTACTGGGAAAGAAACAGTCTTACTCATTTAAATTCCTAATGCCTCTCTCAGTGCCTTCAATACAGAATGTGCAAAATCAGAGAAAATTGCATAATTAAATTGGATTTTAAATGAAATATTATGAGACCTTGCAATATTAACCTCGCCTGGCACCTTATACTTATTTATTATTGGGTTTAATAACATACTGAAAACAAATCTCTATCAATGTTTAACTCATACCACAGAAATGCTTATATACCAAAAAACTAAACCCGCTGCCACATCTTGTCAGTGCTAACTTTAGGAACGCTGCTCCCATAAAGATTCATAGTCCTAGAAAATCTGTATGGAAGCCGACAGTCTCATTTTTGTCTAGGGAGCAGCTGGTGTGGCTTGAGTCCTGGTGTAGCACCATAGATAAGCACTCAACCTCAGTGTCGGTTTGAATTTGACAGCACTTAACAACAGCAACAAAAACAGCCATCATCATCATCCTATGTCCTTCTAGAAAAATCTAGCAAGATTGCCAATTTGAAATCCCAAAAGAACAGTTGTTACAACCTTATGAGCTGACCTCTCTGCTTTGAATTGAATTGGCCTAGCAGATCACCTCAGACTGTCTTGATTGAACCTTTTTAGTAAAGGCATGCTAAGGAGTCCTGGTGTGGTGCTGTGGGTTAATGTGCCAGATGGCAAAGCCATTTGAACTGCAAGGTTGGCAGTTCAAACTCACCAGCTGCTCCTTGGAAACCCTATACAGGGTTACTATGGGTCAAAACTGACTTGATGGCACGTAACAGAAACAACAACAAGGAGTTCTGGTGTGGTGCTATAGGACACCCTTCCTGGCTCTTCTTTTTTAATGATAGTCAGATCCCCACTCCAGCTTCTGAGTTGGTTCATTTTATACCCATGCTAGAGTTTCAAGTTTTTGCAATTACAGTTAACTCTGTTAAAAAATCCATAGTTGGATCATTTCATCTATCGGTATCTTCTCCTACCTTCTCTCACCCAGACCCATTAGGAAATAAGAGTGATTTGGTGCAATTACAAAGAAGGGAAATATTAAATAATTCACCTCACCATACATGCTCTTGCATTTATTCATTTATTGCACACATTACTTATTATGAGATGATGTTTGATGTATATGATTTGTCTTTATCGCATCTTTATACTGGTCTACCCAGTAGTTAAATACAGCCATTGGTTAAAGCTTCAGGGTCATGTGTTTCAGTGGTAATGTTGGTTACATGCAACACTGATTTAGAATGTCTTTTCCTAACAATATTTAAAAATTGTTCTAGCCTCACAGTTCTGGGTTTGGTCATTGCAATCAGGTGAAGTGCATGTGTGTAGGGGGGGAGGGTAGTTGCTTGAGAAAAAATGGGTAATCATATTTAAGAAGCAATGATTAGACAATTCCATTTAGGATTAACAAGCAATGAAAAATATGTCAGGATGAAAATATGATGTGTGAATGTTGTTTCCCAAGAAGGAAGTTTGTAATGGGAGTCTTTCTATAGATTTTCCCCCAAACACTCCAAGTAATAACTTCTAAGGAACTGTATAGTTTAAAAAATACAGAAGTATTAGTTTCTGTGGCCTAAGAGGAAGAAGCTTAAACCTATGTAAGACTTTAGATACCTATTTTTAAGATGTTCTTCATGCTTTAGATTGTGTGGCTAAATTCTAACACTGAAAATGTTAAGTCAACAGTTTTATTTATCAGTATCTAAAGACACATTTTCTTGTGACTGCCTTTTAGCTGTCCTATTTTTTTTATATATTAAAACTGAAAGAATGATAAGAAAGTCTATCTAACAACATATTTCAACAAATCTCCACCATTCTCATTAAAAATGTTTTTAGACAGGATTGGTTTAATTTCTCTGTGGATAGTCCACTAATGAAAGCCACTGCTATCAGGTCGATTCTGACGGATGAGAATCCTGTTGGACAGAGTAGACGTGCCACACCACGTGTTTCCAAGGTGTCATCTTTACAGATACACACTGTCACGTCTTTCTCCTTTGAAACGGCTGGTGGGTTTCAACCACTAACCTTTCAGTTATCAGGGAAGTACTTTAACTACTATGACACAGGACACCTTTCTCCATAGATATATCAGTGTGTATGTATGAGGAGGCTTCAAAAATTCACAGAAAAGTGCAATTAAAAAAAATAATACCCTGGATATCCACAGACAAATGTAAAAACCTTCCCTAAAAGCCAAGACTGTAAATTCCAAAAAGGCAAGTTCCCCACCACCCAAAAAACCCCCCCCCCCAAAAAAAAAAAAAAAAAAAAAAAGCTAAAGAGGATAGAGAGAAACACTGTTAA